CATGAACCTGAGCCAACCATCTCTGATTTGGGTTTTAAACTTTGCCACCAGTGATGAGAGGAAGAAAGGAATTGAGATTGAAGGTGTTTTGAGTTTGATTTTGAGATTGTTTGGTGTTTGTGTATTTTGCCGAATTAGGGTTTTCTGGGTTTCATGAAGGGAGCAGCAAGTGGAGGGAAGCGGCGGCGGGCGGCGACAAGGAGCCTTGGAAGGGAGTGACAACGATAAGTGGAGGGGAAGAAGGACAAGTAGAAGGTTAAGATTGGTGGATCCATGGATTATATGGATTGGATCAAATGTATTGGTGGATTGATCCATGAATCCAAATGACATCAAGTCTTCGGTCATTATGTAAATTTTGAAAATTTAAGGTGTCAAAATGTTATAATGAAAATTTTTAGGTACCAAAACATAATTTTCATCTTAAGAACCTAAATATAAAATATAAAAAGTATAAGTAATAAACTATAATTTGTCATTTGGATCCACGGATCAATCCATGAATTCACTAATCCAATTGGATCTGGATCAAATGTATTGGATTAAAATGAATAGGTTTAGTTGGATATTTAGGTGGATGGATAGAATTGGATATTGCTACCTCTAGGTAAGAGGGAAAGAGAAGAGTTGGGGTTTTAATTTTTTCCTTTTTCTTTTTAGCCCTTAAAAAATGTACAAGAAAATTAAACAATAGATTTTGGTCAATTGGGTTGGGTCATGGCCTCATGGGTGAGGTTGGTTAGGTGTTCAATTTGCATGATTTAAACCTTTCTGTGTTATACTAAGCAATTTCGTTTGTCACATCATTAAAATCTTAGGGTGTTAACGGAATTCGACGAAAACAGATGGCCAGTAACTAACCATAAAATGATTCGTAAAGTTAGTGACACATAAGAAAGAAAATTTTTTGGGTGGCAAATGTGTAAAGTTTGTATAATTTCAGTGACCAAAAGTATAATAGAAAAAAAATAATAATAATAAAGGAGAGGAGAGGAGATTTCAACTTCCCTCTAAAAGTGCTCTCATCCCCTCCCAGTCCCCCGCTAATCCGCTCCCTCCTTCCCCGCCTACAGATTCAATTTCCTCTTCCGTCCCGAAAAGCTTCTTCTTCTCTCTTTGCTGACTTTACTCCCATCAGCAGCTGCTGTTGCCCTCTTCTCAGTCTCATCTGGAGGCCGCGCATTGCATAAGCGGGGTTGCTTTTCTCTCGTTAACGGGTTACGAATTTTTCGCATGGTAGCGGTACGTGGCATTTCTTGTTTCCGTTTGAAAATCCTCTCTTTCCTGTCGCTTCCCCCCATTTTCTCTTCCCGCTTCATTGGAATGGCATACTGCTCCAAAAGTTTCAGTCTTGGCTCTTGGGAACTGAATGCTCGTTGTAATTACTGGGTATCGATTGTTTTGTGCGGATTTAGGGTTTCGAATGTGGCGGAAGTAATTTTGAGTTCTTTTTCTCCATTTTGATGAATTGGGTATGTGAAGAGTTTCACGAGGGTAGTAGGAGTAGGGTTTTGGGTTTTGAGTGGGAGAATGGGAATCTTCCTCCTTGAGGATTACGCTGAGTTGCTTTTTCTTCGGTGGTCCGGAATTGTGGTTTACTCGGTTAAACGAATTTCTTGAAGCATGTCTTAACTATGCATGCCTCTTTAGGTCTGGATTTTGAGAATTGGGTAATTTGGCTTTCTATTCTTCATATAATTTTGGCTTTTGATATGCCTGATAGTGTCTTCCGAGAGAAATTCAATTGGATTTTAGGACAAGTTAGGTAACCAGATAATTTTTGTTCGTTGCTGATTTAGATACTTTTGCAGAATGTGTGATCCAGGTTGGTATGAGTTTCTTTTCACGGTGCTTCACGCCATCATGCTACCTGTATTTGTGAATATTGTTAGTTACTGATAAATGATTGTTTGCACCCTATGATAATAGGATCAAACAGGAGCAATATTTTCTGCAGGACCGACTACCAGCTGTAGGTTGTTCCACGTATCTTGGATTTCATCTTAATATGGAAGCCCAAATTCATCACCTCGAGCAAGAAGCTTACAGTGCAGTGCTACGTGCTTTTAAGGCTCAATCTGATGCTCTTACCTGGGTACTGCTATTCGTTCCCACTATATACCCACATTTTTATGAAAAAAGAATAATTTGACCATGAAGTTGTCTCATTTAGTGCCCTCTCTTGTATTTTCAGGAAAAGGAGGGTTTGATTACTGAACTTCGCAAAGAGCTCCGGGTATCAGATGATGAGCATAGAGAGCTTCTCTCCAGAGTTAATGGGGATGATGTCATCCTTCGTATAAGGTTTGTATGCTTCTTGTCTACGGTTGGACCCATGCAATTATAGTAGTCCGAGTAAATGGATCATGACTTGCTGCTATTTCAGGGAATGGAGAACTACAGGTGGGAATGAAGCTACTAGGTTTGTCCCACCAAGAGGTCATGACATGGTACCCAGCCCTACCATCTCCGGTGCCCGTAAAAGACAGAAGATATCTCAAGGGGTATTTTCCTTTGGATTGATATGGTTTCCTTTGATTTAGAATCAATTGCTCATAGCCAGGTTCTCGATTAACTTTCATTTTGTTGTGATTTTTGCTTTACAGGGTCATGCACTTCCTACTTTATCCTCTGTGAAGGCTATGCAGCTCCCCTCACAGTTTGCTACTCGACCTCGGTACTTTACTACACACAATTCCGGCAGTTCTTCTGGTGCACCTGTGGTTGATGAACCTCCTGAGGCACTGCTCGGACGAAAGGTTTGGACTAGATGGCCTGAGGACAACCACTTCTATGAGGCTGTCATAACTCAATATGACTCTTCTCAGGTATGTACTAGAATCTAGAACTGTTGCTTTGATGGTGCTGTAATTCTTGATGGGATACATATATTGCTATATATATTCATGCGTGTAGGCCTGCTGTAAATGTGTTAAGTGAATAAGGCTGCTGGAATTTAGGAAGAAGTTCATGAAATTATGGGTTGAAGAACTGCCACACCAATGTGTGATTATGTCCGGTAGCTCTGCACCACAACCTAGGTTGATATGACTATAGAATGACGAGGACAAACTCTTGCAAATTCTCAAAATGTTCGATTGAAATCTAATATGACCTCTCATTACCATAGAACTAACCTCCTTAAATTCCTTATATAGTGACTAGTGGAATGTTATCTGATTGGCTTATGTGAGTCCCTTACCAGTTGACTGGTCTAAATGTGATTAAAGCCTTCCTTAGTAAGTCATATACCAGTTCCCTGTTCCTCAAATGTTAATCTTAATCAATTAACTGTTTGCTACTACTGTTTTTTGTGGCTTCTCTGTGTTTTTGTTAGCTAAAAATTTATTTTTAATATTTAATGCTTGAAGGCCCGGCATTCTCTTGTGTATGATATGGGCACGAAGAACGAGACATGGGAGTGGGTTGATCTGAACGAGGTGATTAACAGTGCTGAGAATAATCCAGACCTCTACTATCATTTATTTTGTTTGTCAGGCTTTTCTATGGTTATTTCCAATCTCTCTTTGACGTTGAATTGGGAAAATACGTGCATATTTCTGTTGGCAGATATCTCCAGAGGATATACGATGGGACGGAGAGGATCCAGCAATTCTGTATCGTGGTGGACAAGGTGGCGGTGGTAGCCGAGTGATGAGGAAAACCATAAGCCATGGCGGTTTTATCCCACCGGGCTCCATTCCAGTGCAGGGTTATCGAAAGTTCCCCTCCAGAAGGGAGCTTTTAGCAGCACGCAATGGCTTTGCTGCAAAAGTTTCTGATGATATTGAATTACTGAACACCGAGACACTAGTTAAGGAGGTAACAAAACTGGAACTCTTGAGTTTTTCGACACAAGTTTACACCACTAATTTGCTCCCTCATCTTTATCTGATCTTTTTTACAGGTTGAAAAGGTTTTCGGAGTTAGTCAGCCAGATCCGATTGAGCTTGAGAAAGCCAAAATGATGCTAAAAGTATGATTGATTTGTGTGCCTACAGTATTTTTTCTTACTATTTTATGCTCGCTGGCTGAAAACTCGTGGTTTTTCTATGATGTAGGAGCAGGAACAGGCACTTTTGGATGCAATCGCAAGGCTTGCAGATGCATCTGATGGCGAAAGTGGTAAATAGCTATGTTGGTTGTTCTCTCCATTTTGGCATAAGTATATTAAGTAACAACTGACTTCTTCCTACTTAAGCGGTGTTACCCTATACCATTCATTTATAAGATCATATTTCAAATTCATCGAAGTAATGTGTTCGCCTCTTTCAAGCTTCGGGCTTTTTTTGGTTCTGGGTATTTTCTGGCGCTCACATTCTGACTTCTTATCTGGACTTCCAACGTCTTGAACATCTTGGGGGTGAACTATATCCCAAGATAAAGCTTCGGGGTTTAAAATTAACGAACTCTTTATCAAACTGCATTGTAATTGGATACCTCATTTAGATTGCATGAATGCACTTGAAGCTCGTATTAATTTCCTGACAGAGAAGGAACATGTCCCTCTCGATGTTGTTTTATAAACCAAGTTGTTTTTGTGTTGGAATCAGACGGGGAACATCACTTCTTACACGGGCAACCAATGGAGCGTTAGTGTGGTTTGAAGATACCATTTCACAGGAGTCAGAAAAGATGTCTTGCTGAAAGCAGCACCTGATGAGGCTGTAGAACTGGAAATTGAGGGAGAAGGAAAAGGTTAAATCAACCATCGCTGGTGGTTGGCTGCCAGTTTTCCTTTTTAATCTTCTAACCTGTTGGATTGTAAAGAATTTCCTCTGTTTCCTTCCACCTTGTATCATACCCCGTCATTTCCATTTAACATCTTGTTCTGCAGAACGAGATTTGTAGTTAGGATTAGTGAGGATAAGGAATGTTCAGGGGAAACCTTCGCTAATCTAGATTTGTACAACTGCCCATGGCACGCAATAGAGAATTTGACCTAGAATCATTCTGATATAAGCTGAACACTATAATGTCTCAGATATAACTCTGTTTTCCTCTTAAACCAGAGCCCAAAGAACGTTACTTCCATTCCATGATTGAGTATTGCAACTTTCATACAGGAAAAGAAAATGTCAATCAGTTTTATAGCGTTTCATGGAACTCTACAATCAAATTGACCATGACGGAATCAAAAGCAGGGCCTTCTACTTCAAAATGACCAGCTCCCTGTATTAGATGCATCTCTGCTCTGCCATCGCAGCTCTTCACCTTGCTCTTCAGCTGCCGCACGCTCGTGAACCAGTCTGCACTCCCCATTATGAACAGCTTCGGCTTCCTCGCCTTCAACGTTGGCTTGTAGTGCTTTCCAAACAGAAACGAAGCTGCCAAGCCGAAAGGATAGCCTATGCTCACGTATCCCACTACTTTCTCCAGGTGATCCAGCGCCGAGCCAGCAATTGGAGCTCCTACGAACATAAATCAAACGAGACGAGACAGAGTAAGGGTTCCCAATCCTCGACGAATCAAACAGCGCGCGCGACCAATTGATACGCGGTGTATGCAGTAATGGGTAGAGAGGTACCTGCGGATGACCCGACAAGCAAGATCCTGTCGACAGGCAAGTTGTCGGAAACCCAATTGCAGACAGCGACAACATCCTCGATTTCGGGGATTCCGGTGATGGAGGACTTGCCGGTTGATCTTCCGACACCTCTCATGTCGAATGTGACCGCGGTAAGCCCTTTGATGGAGAGCCTGGAGGCAATGCCGTGCATGATGACCTGGCAGCCGCCGAGTTTCGAGTAAGGATGGACGAGAACCACCGCGGTGGCGGCTTGGGCGGAGGCGGAAGGGGAAGGGGAAGGGGAAGGTTCAGCGGTGGTGGGGGTGGGCTTGAAGAGCCTGGCATGGAGAACGATCCCGTCTCGTGTGGATACGAAGCATGACTCCATGGCGCTCCTCGGAGGTGTCATCGGTGACGACGAAGAGGAGCCTCTGGAGAGATTCGAGAGGGCTGTCGCCATGGATTCCCCTTTTTTTTTAATATGAAATGTTACATGGAGAGGTGTTGCGTTCTTTGGGGTGGTTTTGAGAGGTTTTTGCTGTTGTTCAAGGATGGCGGGAAGGGAGTGGGTTAAGGATGTTTGGTTTGGAAGGTTTGGTGGTGATGATATTATATGGGTTCTATTCTAAATTTCTAATACGGGGCAGGATGCTAAACAGTTGATTAACGGATTGTGCTATAAATTGGTTTCTACAGCTAATGTGAGAGAGAAACTGACTGAACAGATTGTGTTGGTTTCGAGGGGAAATTAGGAACGGGAATTTGCAAGGCTAGAATGAGGATTTAGTGAAGTTGAAGCACATGTATGTACAAATAGAAGGGGATGTTAGCTTAACGATTTTGTTTTAAGGAAAGGAGCGGGCATTCTACGAAATGAAAGAAAAGATAGAGAAGAACATTTTAATTTTATTCCTTATATAGTCTAGGTTTTTATTCGATCACTTTGGTTGTTTGCATTCAAGGAATTAAATATTTTCGAAGCCAATACTTACATTTTGAGAATTAATATCAAATCGTATTTTATTACATTCAATTTAACTCAAATATCAATTATTGGTGTGAATAACACGCTTGTATATACTGCCTAGTTATTTTGGATCGGTCATTATGAATTCCTAAAGACAAATACTTTATCATAGAATGTTGTTTCATCCTTGTGTTATATATCATAACTTTGTTTCAATTTCAATAAAATTAATTCAATGTTTAAAATAAAGGAGAGTAATATTCAAGTGATTAGGAAAAAATTGAAAAAAGGGCAAATAAAGTAACAAAGATTATTGAAAATGTCTTGTTTATCTTTAGATTTCACATAATTCTCTCTTCGTTGTCTCCTTATTTGAGATCTTCTTTGCTCTCTCGAGAAGCTTATGTTGTCTTATAATATGACGGTTGAATGAATTAGAGCCATAAATGCTATTTATATTAGATTGGGAAGGAGTACTAATCAAATTGATGAGGCAAAGTTGGACCGGGACTAGATATTATAACAACACCCTTTGTGTTGTTATTGTAACAACACTAGCCTCCAACCAATAGAAAACTAGAATTATGATGATTTTTTATTAGATGAGTTGACCTAGTGTAAAATCAAAGCAGGGGTATAATTGTCATTATGAAAAATCTGTTTAAATAATAAAAAATAAAAAATAATAAAAAATAAAAAAAATTTATTATTTTCTGCCCAAATTTTTGGTCGCCGGAATTCGGCCACAGGTCGCCGGAATCTGGTCGCCGGTCACCGGAATATGCTATTTTGTCATCGGAATATGCTCACCGTCGCCGGAATATGCTTACCGGCGTCGGAATATGCTTACCGGCATCGGAATCTAGTCATCGGGGCCGGAATATGCTTATCGGCGCCGGAATCCGGTCACCGGAGTTCGGTCAACGAACTTCGTTGACCGGTCAATGGTCTTCGTTGACCGGTCAACAACCAACGACCACCGGATGTTATAGTCTGATTGTGAGATTTATGGTTTGGTTTCTCATATTTTTATATGCCTTTTGTGGTTTGCTTTATCGTGTTTGTGGTTTGCATTAAGAAGTTTCTGGTTTGCTTTATCGTGTTTGTGGTTTGTATTGAGAAGTTTCTGGTTTGTTTTCAAAAAATTTGTGGTTTGCATTGAGGGGTTTCTGGTGTGTTTTAGGAGATTTGTGGTATGCATTAGGAGGTTTCTGGTTTGTTTTTGTAGTTTGCTTTAACGTGTTTGTGGTTTGCATTATGAGGTTTTTGGTGTGTTTTTGAAAATTCTGTGGTTTGCTTTGTGAGGTTTCTGGTTTGTTTTAATATATTTTTGGTCTGCATTATGACGTTTCTGGTTTGCATTAAGAAGTTTCTGGTGTGCTTTCGAAAATTTTGTGGTTTGCTTTGCGAGGTTTCTGGTTTGTTTTAGGAGATTTGTGGTATGCATTAGGAGGTTTCTGGTTTGCTTTTGTGGTTTGCATTAGAAGGTTTCTGGTTGGTTTTGAAAATTCTGTGATTTGGTTTGTGAGGTTTCTGGTTTGTTTTAACAGATTTGTGTTATGCATTCGGAAGAATCTGGTTGTTTTATGTGGTTTGCTTTGTCGTGTTTGTGGTTTACATTATGTATTTTTTGGTGTGCTTTTGAAAATTTTATGGTTTGCTTTGTTAGATTTCTGGTATGTTTTATCACATTTATGATTTGTATTAGGAGGTTTATAGTGTGCTTTAGAACTATGTATGTTTGTGCTTTTTCTGCATAACTGTTGTCCGAGGGTGAAGATTTGTGGACCTTGATGCAACTTTTATATGGTTGTTAGATTGCTTTGTAATGTTTATTTAATTTGTGTACGAATTAGTATTTTACCCTTGCTATATAGTCCGAATATGTAATTGAATGATGTAATTTTCCAATTGATGATATCCACGAGTTCTCATTCTTCCTCAGCTCTGCAAATCACCTTCTTCCTCCTTCCTCTGCAATTTGTTCAATCAATACCTCCAACAAGAACCTCTTTTAGCCTAACCAATATAACTTGTTATGATCTAGAAGAAGGCTTATAATCAAATTCGGGGCAAGCAACTTCACAATCTGGAACTTCCTCGAGAAATTTATGAAAAAGACAGAGCAATGGACAAACTTCTTTCGGAAGGCGCTATATTCCACGGTGGATTGACGAAGCGGAGAGAGCGGCGGCGGCCTCGCGAGGAACATGCAAGGCAGATCGGAGAAGAAGAAATCTCCTGCGTTGTCCCCGGCGATTCGGATTCCACTCCGTTGTCCTGTTTCTACCCCGTGTAAAAGTCGGCGGCAGCGATGGAGCTCTGACGCGAAACGATGCGATGTGGGTTGCCGGACCTGCGCCGACTACGCCCGTTCCCAACTGTCCTCCGCCGCGGACTTCGTCCTCAACCACGTCTTCCTCCAGCACAACGCCACCGACCGGCGAGGGTACCAGCAGCTCAAGCTCTTCGTCAACAAGTTCTACTTCAGCGCCGACTTCATCGAGACCTACTCGGCCCCCGACCTCAAGAGGGAGTTCTCCGGCGTGCTGTACAGGGAGATGGCGCACGTGTGGCTGTGATTGAAATTTTATTTTTTTAATTTTAATTTGTTATTTTGTGTTAGTTTACCCTTTTACCCTTAATGAATCTTGTTGTTAGTATAACAACACTCATAGTGTTGTTATACTATCCGCTCCCAGTTGGACCCTATCATTTCAACATCACGGATACTATTAAACTATATTAAATTACTTGTAGGAATGAGTGTAAGACCGTATAGGATAAATTAGTGGTAGTTTATTCCGTAGTCAAATGATGGTTAAATTATTTTCTGACGATAAATTTGAATATTAAAAACACCAATATATCAAACAACAATTATATGGAGATTCTCCTTCATCACCTATCATATTCCCTTTTCTCTGGCCGCTGCGCATAGAACGGAAGGACTCCATGGTAATTTTCTTTCAAATTCCGGGTGGGCTTCTTGCAATATATACATGTCGGCGCATGGACCATAAATTAAATGGGACACTTTCCCTCATTCCCTGGAATCAATAGGCTCATATATGCACATCCAGTTATGATGTACCAGCCAGTTTTCCCTAAAAATTGAAATTAATGGCCGATTCTCTCAAATGTGTACGGGCCACATTCTTTTATCCCCTCATCAATATTTTGTATTATGGGCTTGGAATAATTGATCAGGTGATTATTAAATTAATTGAGATTAAGGTTACGAAATTAGTAAGAGGTGCCTACTTTAGTCCAGGTTTATCTAAACTATTATAATTATTCTAAGAAGCTTTGTAGACTAAATGACCATGTCAAAAAGAGAATCATCAATGATGTGTCAAGTTCCTTGAACTCAATTTTTTTTTAGAATCATCAGTTTACGTATATTGTATAAAATAATAAATTCTAGCATTATAATTAAGAAATGAAGTTATAACGTTTTGCATCGAGATTTTATAAACATACACTTCATGAATGAGTTATGATTAGATAATTGAACTATCATGAGTGGATATGATATATGTGCTTGAAATTTCAACACAGGCGTCTAACAAAGTAACAAACCGTCAATAATCATTAATTAGGTACATAACAACGTACATTGCTTATGTAAAAAAAAATCATTGATTGAGTGTTGAGTATTTTTATTGGGAAATTAGTGTATACTCTATGAAGGTCTCATAAACCTAAATTAAGGTTACATGTCAAAGACCACTAATATTTAATAGTACAATGTTAGACAATTAAAACAAACCAATATGTAGATAAAAAATAGTTAGGTGTGAGGATAAGTTAATTTTATATAATAAAAATATAGTCCAATCAACAGGTGGTTCTATACGTTGAAGAAACATTGTTCGTGAAGAATTACCCAATGAATAAAACAATGACCAAATTCCATCTTCTAACCTGTAATGTAAGTATAGTACATGTATTCGGTCTTCAATTTGGATGTTCCTGCTCGTGCTCGGAGAGAGAATGGGCACGACTCCCCCTCTTCCCGTTCTACTGTCCAAAACACGCCGGCCATTCTAAGTTCTGGAGTTGGGTCGGATAGGATCAGATCCAATCGGATCTGATCGTAGCTTCGAGTTCAGGTGCCGTACCGCGGCCAGACCAGAAAGGAAGGGCCCTACACTAATTAATTATTTGTATCTCGCCCTAGAACCACCGCGCTATTCGAAATCTTAGTGAAAGACTGGATTTGTTATCTCATGTTTGCTTTTCGTGAAAAAATACCAATTGAAGTAGAGGGTTTCTTCAACCAAGAAGGAGCTGGGTGTGGGTCTTTTGTCGAAATAGAATGGCCAATGTCAAATCATTTTACAATTTAGTATATATCCATGTGTTGATCAATCTATATTTGAAGCGCAAATTTTTTTTTCCTGATGGCATGTTCATCAATGACAACTTTTACCGGTTTGTAATATTTATCAATGTCAAATTCTGTAGATTTTACCATTTAATACGTATCCATGTGGATGTGGTTGACTTTGATCAATCTATATTGGAGCTCAAAAGAAGTTTCATGATGGTATGACCATCAATGACAACTCTTATCGGTTTATAATATTTATTAATGT